GCCGACTACTTATGTCAATAAATAGAATGGACAAAACAAAATTACAATTTATGAAACTAACATGTGTTGTTGCTGTCGCTTCAGAATAAGCCATTTGCGTTTGGGCGATGGTAAACGTTGGGTGAGTTGAAGGCGGGTTAGGGTCAGACACGCTTACACGTTCACCTGCTGCAGTTTTGGACACAGAAATCAAATCCGGCTTTGTTAGAATTACGATTCAAATCAAAAAATATTTGGCAAAATGTATATGTTTGTCTATGTAGTTGGCATATAAAATATGTTTATAAACATTGTACAGTAAATAGACGTTTCCTTTCAGATAAAATAAAAATTAAATCTTCGAATCTTTGGTCTTTTATTTCGTTACCATCAAATTTCTATACTTGCAGACAAAATTAAAGGAACAAATCGCATGACGCTTCGTTTTCCCTTGACCCACTCAAGGTTTTTCAGATCTTGTTCCGCTCCACTGTATAACCTTCTCCCAACCTCCTCCAACGCCAACGGCTGGATTTCGGCCCTAAAGTTGTTGTTCTTTTCTCACGATCTCACCACCTGACTTCCACTCTACGACGATGCATTGCTATTTCGTCTCTCAGATCGTCTTCATGAAAGCCAACTCCAAAGCCTAATTTTTTTAATGTTAAATTTCCTGATATTTTCATTATTTTCATACTTCACCCGTTGATTCATCTGACTAAGGACAGTTTGGTAAATATTGTAGAATATATTCAGAATATCGTGGCCACATGCTTTTATAGTTACTCAGCTAATTAATTAATTTTTGTGTGATATTTGACCAAATTTCCCCATTTATAATGCATTTTGTTGACAAAAAAAAGAAGAAGAAGTGATTTTCTCACTTATCTCTCATAATTCTTACGCTCCATTAATGCCTCCACTCTAGTTCTAGACTTCTAGTAATATTCTTAGGATTGTCGTTTTAAAATGGACCAACTTGATAGAGTTTAAGGATCATGAATAAAACTATGTAAACCTCACACGTTTGAATCATAGAACGTCACTTACAAGAAGCACACAAACTTTTAACCTTGGCTAAACCGATAAACAACACTTCTAAAACTTTCTTATTTCCACAATTAATTATTCTCTTGCACTTGCATATAAACTAACTACTTAATAATTCACTTTAGGATTAACCCATGATGCATATCAATTCCATCTTCAACATTTTATCACCTAAAGAAAAGAAAATCTTCTTGGATGCCCAGAGAAATCCAGAAGAACCCTGTTTTTCTTTCGGGCTAAACCGCCATTTTCATATCTATTTTCTTGTGAGGATCATAGCCAATGAGCTCAAAGTCAGCCGCAACAAAAGAATATATATGTTTCTTCTCTGGATTAATCTTCAAAACCTGTAAAGAGCCCCAAAGATAAATGAGGATATAGATAGATTATGGATTCATCAAACTCGAATCAAGATTAAGAGAAAGAGATTAAGTGTCCATATATACTCACAGGAAAAGGTTTTGGTGGGTTCTCAAGTTGTTCTTGCAGAGGCCTGACATGGTTTTTGTAAACATGAGCATCACCAATCACATGGATAAAATCACCAGGAACAAGATCTGCATAATGTCAACAAAATATCAATAGATATGACAGATTCGAAAATCGAACTTGCTCTCTCCCTAGTGAAATTTGAACATTACCACAGACGTGAGCGAGAATGCATGTGAGAAGAGAGTATGAGGCAATGTTAAACGGTACACCGAGACCCATATCTGCTGAACGCTGATACATTTGACATGAAAGTTCTCCATTCGCAACGTAAAACTGCGAAAACATGTGGCATGGAGGAAGTGCCATCAGTTTAAGATCAGGAGGATTCCAAGCCGACATTATAATCCGCCGATCATCAGGATTATTCTTGATCTTGTTAATTACATCTAAGAGCTGATCAAATCCTTGACCAGTATAATCAGCATGCATATCTGTGTACCTGTAGAAAGAGGTTAAAGAAACGGCTAAACAGAGAAGTATGTTTTGCCAAAACTCAGAAAAGCCAAGAGATAATTAATAGAGAATCTACTGACTTAGCACCAAAGTGTCTCCATTGAAATCCATATACGGGTCCAAGGTCACCTTCCTCTCTCTCAGTCAGTCCAATACTGAAATTAAAAAAGTTTTCGTTTATCAGTGCGATGGCCATAAAATTTCGGGTTTTCGAAACAAAAATGTCGATTAGAGTTTACCCATCAAGATACGTTCTTGAGGCATTCCCATCCCATATATGAATACCCTTTTCTTGAAGTACCTGCCACTTACACAAGCTTCTCAGAAAACAATATATAGTTCACTCACTTGCATATGTTCAAGTGTGGCTCAATGACGGTGCATAAGGCATAAAGAAGGTGATAAAAAAGATCTCTTTTTTGTTACGTTTGCATTGGTTGAACCGCTAATGAACCATAGAAGTTCCTCAACAACACCTCTCCAGAAAACTCTCTGCAAATGAAATGCAAACAGATCTTGTAAGCTTGGATATGCAAGGAAGACACAGCAAACTCTTTTGGGTTTGAAAAATGAAAAGTCAATATAAAGGTGAGCGTATACCTTTGTTGTCAGAAGTGGAAAATTCCTGCGTAAATTGAATTTCATCTGTGGATCCAAAGATATCGAAATTAGTTAATTTTAATATGCAGACCAGTATAAGACATTCAGCTATATATTAAGAGGTAGTACAGCACCTGGCAGCCGAATTTAGATAATGTACCAGTCCCTGTCCTATCGTTCTTTAAGTTTCCATTTGAGATGATCTCTTTGACCATATTTAAGTATAGATATTCCTCATGCCGCTCAAAAATCGTCTTAGGAAGAAAAGAAGAAAACTTCTTCCAATCAACTTGAAGGGCCTGTGACGCATCACACTCATCAGAGGATTTACCGGCAGAAGAATTGTTTACACGAACATAGGTCGTGAAGGAAAATCGAAGTCCATTTTCAAATATTGGGAACGACGAACACCAAGGCTGATATGCAGACGTATCAACCGTGGGAATAAATGTATCACAGTCAACATTTGTATCAATCTCAGTTAAATGGATGGCTTCACAGCTCGGTCCATTCATGGATTCCCTACAATACAACAACCATCAAGACGATCAGTGAAAAAAAATTCACGAAAAAAGAGAGTCTTGAGTAAAGAACACACACCTCAATATGTCGCCGCCACCTATTACAAACACCTTCTCAATGGACAAACTATACGAAGGTGAAGCTAATAAATCTAGAGCAGAATCTATGCTACTGCAAGTTACAACATTCTCAGTGTTGGCTATGTCAAAACCGCTAGAACGAGTTAAGACAACGTTGAGGCGACCAAATAGTGGCCTATACTTTGTGGGAATAGACTCCCACGTTTTCCTACCCATTACAACAGCGTTCTTCTTAGTGGAATCCAAAGTGGTCAAAGTTAAATCCTTGAAGAATTTGAGATCAGTAGGCAAATTCCAGGGAAGTATACCGTCTTTACCAATACCCATTTCCTTGGTTGCAGCTGCCACAACTTGGTAAGTTCTGTGAGGCTTTGAAGCCATGATCACATTTCCATTGAGAGTGCTTGACATGGTTGAAATCGACACCCTAAAGATGTTCACCAATGAGGATGGCTTGGGAGAAAATTTACAGAGCCACCTTTGAGACAAAGGCAGCAAAGCCTGAGACAAATAGAAGTTGGAGAACATCAACAAGCTATGCAATTACAACAGAAATTCGACGAAAACGACAAATATGAAAACATAGAGCTTAGATTCGACAAATACATTAAAGTACAAGCTATGAACCACAAGACCACTTGTTTCAAGACACTTGATACTAAATGGAACCAAGTACATTTTTGTCTCTTATTAACACATAACAGGACCAATTGCAAAGAACACACTCATATTTATTCACAAGAATAGTCAGAAAGTCGGAAACTTGAGCACTTATTTAACTCTAACCCAACAAGAAAAGGTAGACATAGGGAAATAGAACAAAATGCAACCAAGTCAAGTTGAAAACTAACCGAATTAAACGCGAAAGGTAGAATCTTTGCAGAGATTTGCAAACACCTAAAAAGAGAAACCAAAGCCAAACCAGTTACAAGTGGTTAAGCTTCGAGAGCATATAAGCATGCCAATCCGTTTCTAAACCTAAATCTAAAATACTTGAATCAATTTCCCAATAACTAACCTCATTTGGAGGTTTCACCAATTTCAAATCCCAATTCAGATTGAATCTACACATACCGCTAAATTCAGCATTCGAATCATCGATTTTTGCACAGCCAAAAACAAAAACAGAATCACTCGAAAAACCTGAGATTACCTTAAGACAGAATCAATCGCATAATAAATCACCGGGACAAATTACAAACGGCGTAAGACGACGGACTCGTTTGAACCAAGGTTT